ATGGACTGGTCTCAAGTGGAAAAACGATAGAGACATGGATTCACTCTTTTTTAAGGTCTAGAAAAGTTCAAGAGTTATGTGAACGTCTCCAGGCGGGGGTGAGGATGTATGAGCAAGGAGGACTTAGGGCTTGAGTCCAAAGCGTAAACAATAGGCAAAACGCATTTTTCACTGCTTTGGCCCACGAATGAGCAAAAAAAGCACATTATTTTTCAAGTGAAACTCAAAAAAATTAAATATTGGAAATGATACGTCGATAAGCACCATGTCCCTCTCAGTATCAATAATCTACTACTTCTAAGCAAATTTGATTCAAGTAAGAGGATCCTCCAAGTAACCTTAAAAGGACGAAATACTTTTAAACTTACTTGAGCGCATTTGCAACCGCTTCAGTGCAACTTGGAGTATCCTTAGACTGAATTCAATATGGGGCGGAGCTTTACTAACGGTTCTGTAGTAAAGATTCTGAAGCTTTTTTTGGAGCCTACACTGACTTTTTTTCCAACGATACGCCAATTGACGTAGGAAGTGTAGGTGAACCACAAAATCGTAACAATAACGGAAAGAATGAATACGAATGTTATGGAGAATGACTTGTATGTTTACTATTTATGGGAGGTAGCTGAGACCAAATTTTGCACCAAGTGGTTTTGTAGCTGCTTGTGAGAAGTTTACCGGTGGTATATATCTTGTTGTCCCTCATCAGCACTTCGCAAGAAAACTTCCAAAAGAATAAATGGTAGCGGTCGCGTGCGTTGCGGACGCAGTTTCTGCGCCGCGTTTCCTTGAATTTGATCTCTACCCAAATGATCGTTTCGCATGCATATATAGCTTTTAGGTAGCGAAAGTGACTAAGCTTAGCACACTCACTGACGTGAAGCCTTTTGTTTGAGGGTTTATCGTTCTTGTAAGATTTAAGTGGGCGCAGAGATGAATGCCTTAGGGCTTTAAACTCAGCCGGATGAACACAAACGTATTAGGATGATCGGACTGAGTGAGCGGATTGAACACTCGATGTCTAGCCGCGACTTACGAACTATATCCAAATCCGGATGACCTTGGATCTGAGTCATTGCCTCTAGATTTTGAAATTTTCGATGACCTATATAGAATTAATTCCTGACACAAGCTACTTTACGGACTATACTATCAATTCGCGAAAGATAAGCAGAAAAACGGAACTGCGTAATTCCAAGAGCATGTACTAGCCCAAATAAGCCGTGATAAGCTAAAATCAACCCAAATAGAATCTGGGCAGAAAAAAGCGCAACCCGAGACGAGACGATGCCTTGATGAATAGGATAGGATGAGCTCTTCTTACCATTTCATGTTTTTGCTTGATAGTGAAACGAACGGATTTCGTATCGACGGAAGCGTGGGATGTGGTGGAGAGGAAGGGGAGATGGGGGGGGGGTCCGATATGAGGAGAAATCACCTTTGGGCTTGCAAAGGAGCAAACAGCGTTCCCCCATGAAGAAATGAAGTTTTCTTTGTGATTTCAGTTCAAAAAATTTCTTAAACTCAAATCTGTAAGAACTAGCTTATTTTTTACTTTTTTTTTATTTTCTTAATTTGTGCACATTTTTATGGAAAGACCTACCCAAGCAAAAATACTTAGCTCCAAAAAATTTGTAGGATTTCGTAGTTCATCAGATCCCATAGGTCTGCACGAGATCACAAAATATTCTAGAAAAATTGAGCTTAACTGCCTTTTTTGAAGTTTTTGATAAGATTTTTCGGTAGGGTGGTCCAGAAAATTGAAAATTCATTGTACATCAAAAGAAGTCAATTTCCAAGCTCAACACTATTTTGCTTCAGTACAAAATTTCATAACGCTCACAATAAAGAAAAAAACCAGCCGTTACAAACACAAATATGTCGTCAATTTGTAGAGACGTGGGATCAGTGACGGCATTTTATGTACACGAATGAACGATACAACTAATGTTTGCGATTTGCGCTTGAATAAGGCACAAATGACATCATTTCTGAGAAGCTTGCAGTAGTTTTCGCTTGTGCACAGCTGCTAATTGAGAGACCTCACGCGTTCCGAAAATTTGCTTAGGAGTTAGTCGACAGGAATAGCTTTGCAATCTTTGAGAACTTATTCTACTGCTTCCTAAAATGCGTGTAAAAAGCGTAGAAAATGGGTTACTGTAAGTAGATTCCAGAAACTAAAAGAAAATTCCAAAAATAAATTCACAGATTTTTATTATCAAATTACTGCTTTTCGTTTCATAAAGTAAGCTTTAGTGCTCCGTTTTGGCAAAAAAACCCCAGCAACAAATTTGTGAATTTTATTACAATAGATATGTGCAAATTGTGGAGGGGGATGGATGGGGCACAAGAGGAGCTACGAGAATTTTTTCGGATTAAGAAGCGCGGCATTCGTCCACTTCCGCCGTATCTCGCCATGATTTTTACTTGGTGACTTCAAAGGAATTCAAAAATACATTCCACTTGAATTTTTAATTTATTTAAATGCTGACGAAAAAGAGTTTCTCCACAGTCACAGCATACCGTATCAGATGTTACAAAACACGATTTGGAAGCAGCCCCCCCCCCTCTCTCCTTTTTCTGCGTCCTAGAAATACCCAGAACGAAGGTGATGGCTATCAGGGCTAAAAAATTTGTGGGGGAGGGGACAACTGAGCGAATACCGTATGGAAATACGGTGTTGGTGCAAATTTTTGAACCCTTAGGAGAAAAACGTGCTCCACTGCAAAAAAGCACAATAGCACGATAGTCCACGGTACTGTTTCCCTACCATCTTTCCTACTTATCCCTCCCCTGCGACTTACTCGTTCAAAATGGAGTAAAAATTTTGCATCGAAAGGATCTTCAAGTTCTAGCGGTTCCTTTACCTTCCCTTTTTTGCCCCCTCCCCAACTCATTCTTATGAAAAGTTCAACATCTACTGCGATTTGATTGTTTCCTTTCGAGAAGCTGTTGTTCATCTACTCTCGGGAATAGCAAGCCGAAGCAGCTTGAAGAGTGCAAGAAGCGAGAACAACAACATCCGAATCAATTTTGACCTCTGAGAATTTGTGATTTGAAATGCAACTTCAAAATTTCACCAAGTTTATAGCATTTAAAATTTTGCTGCTCGAAATTAAATATGAATAAATGTCATCAATCGTGATATGTCAAAGCTTTGCTAAGAGAAATCTCCAGGTATGGACGACAGCAGAATAAAACTCCAAGCCAAAAGAAGCGGTTTGGATTTGAGTTAAAGATTTTTTAGTACATTTCATTCACTGGTCTATTGTTCTAGAAACTACAAAAAATTGTAGAGCTGCAATTTTTTTCACATGAAAAATGCCGGGAAAAAGAGGGTAGCGTGATTCGACATAACTCACACATAACTTTTTTGAGAATACAAATCCACTAAATATTTCAGAATTTCCATTTCCGTTTCTGCTAGCTTTCCGGGGGAATAATTAAATTATTCCAAACGAAGTCAATGCGATTAGCTTCACACAGTTTTTTTTCGTTTTGTCCTTCATTAGAGAAGCCACATATGCAACAAGGATTCGCTGTAATTTAGAGCAATTTTCCGAAGAAAAAGAAACTGCTAGCTGCCTCATTTGTTGAAAGAAAATCTGGATGAGAGGGGGACAAGCTAGGTTTTAAGATTTTAGATTTTGCAGCTACGACGAAATTTTCTAAACGATTCTAGAGGGGAATTTACAGTGCAGGTTCACGTAGTAGGAAAATGATCGAACAAGTGTAGAGTGAGCCCTTCGTACTATAAATAAGCGAAAATGAAGTTATGATCATCGTATTAGCCGTAGACAGGATGTCACTACGTTGTCATCTAAGACGACTTCCGATAAACATATTAAGACCGAAGAGTACGATTATCAATCGAAAAAAGTCCTAAGCGGATTGCGGTTACTGTAGACTGGCTAAAGAAAAAAGAGAAAACCCTTCTTCTTAAGATAAGGAAACGAATTGGTGCTGCCTTCTTTGTAAACAGTGTCTAATGTTATATACGTAAAAATCTTTATGGCTTTCCTAGTAACTTTAGTTCCTATATAATTTTGTAAAAGAGAATCATAGGATTTAAATCAGAATGTAACAAATCTCCTTGGTTAAATTTACTCGCTTAAGGTATCAACTTCCCTGTCACTCATGTGACTATAATTTTTGTCGTCAAACAAAGCCTTAAAAGCACAAAGTGGATAATACCGTACAAATATAATATTTTAAGACCCGAGGTTCATTATTTCACTCAAATCCACAAAGATTTTCGAGATGTCAAGCCAATATAGGGGACTTGAAATTAGACGGAGGTGAGAGTAAAATCATGGAATTTCTGTTTGAAGTAGGAGGAGAGCTACAAGCCTTAGTAATCTTTGTTCTAAAACCATGCTAAATTTGTTTAGAATATTCTTCGCGTGTAATCAGAAGGGATTACCGTAATCCTGTCGTCAGCTAACAATCTTCACAATCTAAAACTTCCTTCATCTCCCAACTACTCTTGATGAATTGCGAGTGGGAAAGGTTCCAAAATTTTTTCATTGTTTGCGTATAATCATGTTTAGAAGCTGATTTAGCAGCTCAAAAGCATTTCGATTTATCAAAAATAACTTTAGGGTCTACCCAAGCTTTTATTCGATATTTTTGACGTGACATTCTCGTCCCTGTAGGAAACAGAGCTACTGTTAGCTTTGTGGGAAGTTTATTGTCAAAATATACACCCCTGCTGAGGCGCCGTTCCAAACCATGCATTTTTTTCACCCAAAGCGATCGCGCAAGTAATTGGATCCGTTGGTCACCCGTTTTGCTTCGATCTACGAACCTGATGATTTGAAACCTGAGCTGTTCAGATGATATCGCCATTTCGATGCACTCATCACTTCGCAGCGGATAATATTGCAAAATGCAAAATATATATATAGACCTGCGTTTAAAGATCAGTTCCGAAGTTCCGTGAAAGCCGAACGGGTGCGAAGTTCCGCAGAAGTATAGAAAAATAAAGCAAAATTTGGACTAACCTCTTCGTTGTGATCGTGACCTCGCTGTAAATCGACTGTTCTTTCGTAAACTGCCATTTTGACCTGAAAAACGGGGTATAGAACTAGGAATTCACAGATTTTCATGAATAATTATCTTTTGGTATTATTTGCATTTCACTTAAAAAGCAACTAAAATGTCTTCTACTGAGCTAGGAAAAGTCAATGACATTCTCTTCTTGGTAGTCAACTTGAGCACTTCATTTTATAAATGTTACCATATTCTATCCTAATTTCGATCTCTGAAGTACTTTGCAGTCGATAAAAGCTTGAGAAGCAGAGATGAAATTATAGCTCGAAATGTGCCACTAATTTTTTTTATAACATGATAATGTGTGAGTTTACCTTAGTAACAAACAAACAAAATTCAGCATAACACCAAAGTATATCATATACTCTTCAAATCTTTCGATCTATTTAGTTTTGTTTGAGTTTATGATTAAGTAGTAATCGTTTATTTGATGCATCTCCTGAAACATACACTCTTATTGGAGACGCACTAACACAATAACGATTGTTTATTATCAAATTATTCGATATAGACATAATCTTAATGCTAGAATTTCGCTTCATGCATTACAATAATCATGGACGGAAAAAAAACTTAAGCTAGTTATGGCTGATCAATGACAGATTTGTGATATTGGAGAATATGTGGCTCAGTCTGCTCTGCTCATTAGCATGAGGGCTGAGACTTTGTAAGGGCACTCCAGCATGGCTAACTCTAGGCCAAAAATAAACCGTAAACAAATTTCGTTAGCTCAGATGCTAGATTTGAGGCATCCAAAGCATATATCGAATTATTACTACATAAAAGATAGAATGTAGCTGTTGTTATAAATTGCGAACTAATGATAATGAATCTCTCAATGTTTTCAAGTCAAGTTTCGCAGGAGAGGTATTTAACACATGTGGGAGAACGAATCATAATTTTGCAGCACAAATTAGCAAAGTAAGTTTCTAATCTCTCACTAGTTTGATTTAAAAATGATCTAGCTTTAGATACGCTCTATCCTCGTCCCAGGTGGAACTTCCTTTTTCGGAGAGATTAATCTGAAAAGCGGCTTTCCGAGAATCAAAGCCTGTATATGGAATTGTTTTGACAAAAAAAGAGATTAGAGAAAGATATCGAAGATTATAAGTTTAACTGTTCCCATCATATGCTTGTCTTTTCTGAAAACTTGTGAGTTTCATTGATAGTGAAAATTGGGTGATTATTTGAGCATGAGAAAAAGTTTTGACAATATGTAGAAAATTTTCTTATGCTATTGATTCAATGTCATAATTTGGTAAGTCATATTCTGGTGAATTGCTATACCCTTATTGTTTGCTCATGCCGTCGTGTTGCTGTAAAATTGAATCAATGAACTTGAAAATTATTAGTTGGAAGCTTGCTTAGGTAATTGAACATGAAGTACCTCTGCATGCTGTTTCTCACCGCAAAACTATCAAATACTGTCCAAATGAAAAGAAACCTTTGCAGTAACTCTACTTATTGCCTAATACGTCGTTTTACCTGATTTCCTTGAACATGACGGTACATCATCACCTTGTACGGTAAAGGATCGCTCAAATTTCGAACGACGATTGGTGGCTGCCGTGGCCTCCATGGCTGAGACAGAATCGTCTTCGGTTACGGTAGTTCGATACAAGAGCGGCAAGAAGCGAAACATTTCGCGAAGAAATGGAAGAAGACACTTTCGTGACAGATAATTTCAGATATGCATGGGGATTCGCTGTGGGAACAGAGTGGGAAGAAGATTTTTGGCTAGAAATGGGAATGAGAAAGAGATACTGATGATGCTACGAAATGGTGGTGAATATGGAAGCAACCCGGAAAAAAGTGACGAAATGTGAATTATGCAAGAGTTTAGTTCTTGAAGCGGGACTGAGTGATTCTTCAAGGTCAAACTAAGCTCAAAAATAGTGCAGATTTCACCTAGCGCGACAATCTTTACGATTATAAACATCTTTCCACGTGAGCGATTTTTATTGGCTTTGTTGCCCTTCTTTATTCCAACAAAATGGTTTTATTCAATAAATTTGTTCGTAAACCCTACAGACCCCTGGGTAAAAGGAGTTGAAAATAACAAACGAGACATCGATAGCCCTATCTTGTTGACTGTTATATAGTTCTGCTCACTTTTTTGGAAGAAAAGTCCACCGAATCATTGCATGAAGACATTTGTGACTTAGTATATGTAGTGCACACAGCGCGCGCTATTTCACGACATGTGTGCTTGCAAGTTGCCAGTTCCAGAAATTTTTTCTGTAGGTGCCATTATTTGTAAGTACTAATTTCCGAGTCTCTTTGCATTATCTCGATCTACTCAACTAGTTTTTTACCGATAACCTTGAATTTTGACAAGTGAGAAATAGACAACAATTATAAATCAATTCTTTTGTACTGCTAATAAAGAGGTTCGGTCCCGCGCAGAACTTCACACTGTTAAATTACAAATGCTTGTAACATTTGATTCAACTGGCTTGGCGGCTGGAAGGTATGGCTGTTTGACCTAATTGAAACCGCTCGCGCCCCGCTATGCAGTCTGCGTCTCTCCCGCTCGCGTGCTCTCTGATCTTTGTCGAGCCTTAATTGGGTCAGGGAGCCCCCGCCTTCCAACGGCCAGGCCAGTTGAATCAAAGGGTATAATTGAACCCATCGTGACCGTCTCGGAATACAAAGTTAATAAAAAAAAGATTTTTCCACAAAGTTTACGGACCATTGGAGAGCCAGTCGTCTCGGGCTGAATGAGTGGAAGACTGGGTAAGATTCAGACTTGGAATCTTTGAAGATGAGATAAATAAGTTTTTATGAATGAAAAATAAAGTTAACCTGCACTTGTCTACAAGACGTGTTAGACGTCAAAACGAATTACGCTTCCTCCTAGGATGTGTACGTTTATTTAGTTACACTTTTGAGGATGTTCAACCAGCGTAAAAATAATAAGAGAAAAAATCTTCGCACGAAAATCAGGTGCAATTTTTAGAAGGCAGGATAAGTAAGAAATGCTATGTGTACGATATTTATATGCTTAGATTTTTGCTAAAGCTCGCAATTACACTCAGGACCACAAATTAGAAACTAGAGAATCTAGCAGAAAATTTGGAATTGGAAACTATCTCCACGCGTCAGAAACTTCGTGCTAAATGTCTATTCCTTTGGGGAACGAAAATGGGGAAAAGGAGGTTAGAAATGTTTTTATGGAGCTTATATTGCAAGCGAAAGTAGGAGGGCTATTTTCTTGCAGAACAGCTCTTGCTATAGCATTTCACGCAAGTCCACCATAAATCAGGCATTCCAAACCAAGCGAGTGCATAGGAATCATAAAGCAGCTATCTTGGGATAAAAATTGTAGGCTAGCAATTTTTTTTGCAGTTGCTGGATAATCCATACGTATGGCAAAGTTCCTGCAGACTTTGCAGAAACCAAAAAAGGTAGTTTCAAAATAAAAACAAGACAGTTTTGAAGGATATGATAAGAGAATGTCTGGGTATTGATAATGTGTGTTTAAAGTTGCATAGGAAAAAGAATTCCTTGCTTACTTTTATGCAGGTTAAAAAATGTACATAATCACATTTTTATCAGTTGAAAATTGAGAGTTCAATGTTTCGCAGATTTTGGGTAATTTTTTAGAATCGCTACCAGTGACGAGAAGGGAGGGAAGCGGAAAATTTTCGAAAATTACCACTTTGCTCTCAAAACGTGCGCGTGTTTCTCCTTTTAAGTGATTAAAACAGTTTTTGAAATATTTCAACAATTTAAACAAGCCTGGTGAAGAAAACTGGTTCATAACGGAAGTAGTAAGACTGTTCTTGCGTAAAATGCATTTTAAGTGCAGTGCCAACTCAAGCAAGCAGAAAATCTGTCCTAAAATGTTTCGGTACAAAATTGCGCAGTGATATTTCAGTCACCAATGTAAGTCCACCATAACCTAAATTTTTGACCTCAAGAACTCTGGTATAGCATTTGACAAACAAAACATTTCCCATCGTAGGTTAAAATTTTTCGAAGGAAGCAAAATGGAAAAGCTTTCAAATCATGTGCTAGTGCGACGTATAGATATATTTGCGATAAATGTTATTACAAGCTATTTGATAACAAGATTTGATGGATACCATTCTGGAAAAACCCTCATAATGTAATTCAAACAGCAAATTACAAATGTGAGTAAAGAAAGAATAAATTTTCAAAGACAGTTTTTGCTAAAGCTTGTTGAAACATTGCAGCGGTTTTTCACGTCGTAAACTACATTTTACTGCAGTTGCGGAATTCAAAATTCAATTGAATTTCACGAAATGACATCATTACGCATTTCGTTCCTCTCGAATATCAAAACTCAAGCTCTATTTCTGCATCCAATTAATCTAATGCGAAATCTTATAACCAAAGGGTACGTGGTGATTCAAAGGATAACTTTCTTTCCTCTGATACCTGTAGTAAATTGATCAAAATCTCGCTCTTTTTTCATTTGAAAAAAGAAAAGGTTTATTAAAAAATGGAGGAAAAACTAATCTTGATCTTAATTGATGCAATTCTTACTTCTAGCAGCCATACTGCGGAAAAATTTGCTCTAATTTTTGGTGATGCCAGATTGAATTTGAATGACTTAATGCGTTCTAATCATTGCTTATCAATTTTTTATATGTTTTGACTTCAAGAACAACAAAATCAAACAATGTTACACTTGAATTACAAACTAAGAGAGACAAGGGGAGCTAATCTGAAAAAAAATTTATTTTACGTCTTGAATAACTATTCCTAATTTTCTTTACTTCGAAACCTTTCCAGTATTGATATTACTGTTATTAGTATTACATTCAACAAATTCGGCTGAAATTGCGCTTCGAAAATAAAATCACATGAAATCTCTCAAGGTTTGCTTCGGAACAAATCTGCTTGCGAGAGCGAGGATGAATTATGTACTTTCTTGGGTGATTCTTTCAAAAAAAAGGAAAAAAATAGAAAACAACTTGACATGAAAGATTGAAAGTTCAGAAGTAGTAGAAGTGTCATATAGACCACTCTAGGTTTTTCATATGGGGAGATCTTGGATGCAGTAACGACGAATTGAGGCATTTCTTGCGAAAATTCCTAAGGAAATTGCTTCAAAATTGAAGACTAGAAAGAAGAACACCTTATTATAGGCTTGATAAGCACGCGATAATAAAAATATGAAGTCTATTCAACATTTTATTCCAAATTTCTTTTGTTGAGCAATCCTTCTCATGAATGCAATCACAACAGAGGAAGAATTAAAATATTTGTTACTCTAAAAATTCTTTAACTGAAATTTCCAAGCTTCCTGATGACGTCAACCTTTACAATTTTGAGACATTTTAGGTTTAGTGAACCGGAACTCCGCACTATAATTAAAACCAAGAAATGTTAGTTAACTGAGGAGAGAAGTAAAAGATCAGTTATGTACTTTCTGAAACCTAAGCTTCCCCCACTAAATGGTGGTGGGCGTGAGATGGAGCAAGCTTTTTCAAGCAAATGAAATAGAAGACTTGAGATAAAAAAGTGAAAAAGGTCATGTAATCTAAAACTTTGAGTGAAGTTGCATTTTCATATTGAAAGAGGTCATCACGCAATAGCTTGGACATTTATAGAAAATTATTTGGAAGGTTGTTCAGTGACGAAAAATTGATTTAGTACAACTAACTAAGATTAAAAAGAGTTCGATAGATTTCTTTAATGAATGTGCATGAGATGAGTAAGAAGAAGCCGGAGTGAAATCTTTCATAGAAAATTTCCAAGTTTGGTTTTCTCCTCAGCCAAAACAGGAAAAAACTCTTCAATTGTCTTTTTGATTGATTTTAGACATTTTTTAGAAGTTTCCAAGATATGTTCGAATGTTATGTTGTAATAATTCCACTCTTCTTGTAATAAGCTTAAATATCATTTCGCAAACGATATTTTCTAGAAATTTTAGGATTTACAGTTGAAACTGTTCCTACTTTTTTGTAAGAAATTATCTGCTGAACTCCAGCTAAGTTTGGCATCATATCGCGAGTATGCAATTTGAATCAGCGTTTATGAGCAAAACTATACGAGATACTAGGGAAAACATTTCAAGGATGCCGAAGAGTGAGCTCCAGCTAAATTTGAGGTTCCAGAGAACTTTTGTTGTCCTGAAACTTCGCAAGGATTTTCAAAATTATTTTATCTGTTTTCTTGATCAAACAACTTGACAAGAGAGAAGGAACAAAAAATTGGATAGATGCAGAGCTTTTTTGGAAGGGAGGGGGGAACGGAAGCCGAGAGCCCTCGCATTGCTACTCATGCGATCAAATCGCTTGGACATGACGTTGTTGTTATTATTGTGTGTTTTCTGCATAGAAATAAGGGGAGTGTCCCGACTGGATTATTTATGGAGATAAAGACTTTGTGTTACATTTCGTCCCCAAAAATGAGAAAAGCAATGAAAAGAAACGAAGAAAAAATTATTTAGAGAACGAGAATTTTACTATGTGACTAAGAAGTGTTGAGACCATCCAGACTGTCAGATGTTGATTCTTTTTTTTTCTGGGGGGGGGGGGGGTAAGCGCGCCATTTTTCTGAGCGAAAGAGTATGAAGAAGCATTTGAAAAGCCATATGCTTCATAGCTTT